AGCCCTCAATGTTCAAGATGCATTTGTGAATGCAACAATGCCGAATGGCATTGGCTCAAGACTGGCTGGACGGACTGCCTGGTTGCATAAAGAAGTGCTTGTGATTGTGTGACTGTGGAAAGGGATTGATCTCGTGTTAGTTTGCTCTCACTGTCAAGATTGTATAGTGGAATTTTGCACCCTCCCTCCCTCAACTTCGCTCTCCCTTCGGATGGCAACCTGCAGGACCCACAAGAACGTATGCAGACCGCACATCAGGGGTTGCAAAAGAAGCATGGGTCATTCTAACACAGAAAAGCAGCTGTGTACGCAGCAGCAGTGAGAGTCACAGCGACCGTCAGCTTCGTGATGTGGAATCCTGCAATTAAATCCGAGCAGGTTATCGAGGGGCGCGGCTGCGCTGCGTCGCCTGATCTCCTTGGTGCGGGCGCTGCACGGTCCTTGAGGCTTCGATTCCGGAACTCGGGTTGAACCCGAAGTTCTTGCTATGCTGCACTTTGCTCATCACAGGTGGGTGCATGAGACCAGTGGTTGTGCTCGACAGCCGTAGCATGCAATACGCAGTTTTCAGCTGCAAGTCGTGCCTTGCAGATTCGCTTGTGTCCACAGAAGTTTCCGATGCCCTCGGTTTATGACCTGATGCCTGGGAGGCTCTACCCATCAGACGCGGCAGACAGTCTCTATAACACGCACACGTCCCCGACTTTCCAATCTGAGATGGAGCCTGAGACCAAAACTGCTGTGCCGGGGAGCGCAATGAGGCCGCCTGTGACCAAGTTGGCCAGTGATACTCATATACTATCATATACTCCATCAGGATGCAACGTAGCGAGTCGCGAGTGGGGATCCGGGCAGTCTGCAAATTCGGAAACTCAGAACTTGTAGTTGTCCGACGCGTTTGGCTTCCAGCTGGCATGCGAGCAACCCACGCGGTATCACACGGTCCACACAGACAAGACGTGAGAGACGAGAGACTCGCTGTTTCATCCGACCCATAGTTTGTAGAGTGCGATAAGCTCACCATGGAGCCGCCAAGGGGCTGAATGCCTCGGAGCCCCACAGCCGCAGCGCCCCCTTGAGCTGACTGAAATAACCCCGAAGACGGCGTGGCCCCCAACGACCCCCAAGCGGCGGACGAACGCGCGAAACGCCTTGTGGCACCTCAGCGAAGCCATGGCTCCCAAGAAGGGGAAGAAGGACAAGGAGCAGAAGGATGCCAGGGCCCAAAAGGTTTCAAGAGAGGAAGGGACCAAAGCTGACGTGTGAAAGCCCGAGGCGGCTGCCGTCGCCCCTGCCAGTGTCAACTTGTCGCCCGCTATGGCCGAGTTGCTGAACAAGCCGGGGGCTTTGGTGGAGGGTAGATTTCTAGGGCTCCAAGGGCCTCGTTTACGAAGTTCCGAGGTTTTGTGTGGGGGGCAGGGATTGCATCAAGGCTGAGTGATCGGTCATGCGAGGCCTTGGAGCCTCTGTTGATGTCTGAAGGCCAAAGCCAAGCCCCGGTTCACAGGTTTCTGAGGACTAACAGCAGGTCGAAGCAGACTTGGACGAAGTCCGTTCTTGCCGCCAGGAAGATCCGAGAATTCGAGAAAAGCTCAGCCGAGGCCCCCTGGCCGTACATGTGGGGTACGCAGTGGGTGGGCGGTCTGCTTGCACAAAGAAGAGCGTTCGGGCAAGTGCAGGAGAACGAGAAGTCTCAAAAGGCGCAGAAAGGCAAAGCCCGAACCGCTGCCAAGAACAAGCTCAAAGAGGCGGTGTCTGTCACGGATTTTGCCGGATTGCCTTGAGTGTCGCTTCATATGGTTATCTCAGTAAGCTCCCCTTTTGGCTGCACTTCCGGGAGCGACCGATGCATCAGTTGGATGGGTCCAAGTCCTGGTCCTAGTAGCCCGCCATGTAGCGCTGTACTTGAGACTTGGCCTTGGCGACCCAGCTGATTGCCCGTGCCAAATCCAATTGCTCGCAAGCTGTGACTCTTTTCGACCTGCGAAGCGTGAAAAATTCCGAAGCAAAAAACGGCGCGCAGCACACGGCCCCCGGTTTTTCGGTCTGTAGGTGCTCGGACCCAAAGCCCCAGTTCAGGTCCCCAACCCCAGCCTCTGAAGCCTAAGGTTTGACTCTCACCCCCACAAATTCTCACGAACCCGAGTTTGCTGTGAGGTGAAGCAGATTGCCACTGGCACTGCCCCGGATGCGGAAAAGGCCAGGCCCTGAGTGATGACCGAGGGCGGTTGTCGTTTGGCTTTAGGCTGCCTGGGACAGTTTGAACGAAGCAGAAGCGGTACTCGCTCAAGCCCGAAACCGACAAGAACTTCCACCTATGTGCAATCGAAGTACCGATGCCGAAGATTTTTTAGGGGCGTCCCCAATCAAGGGTCTGATGCAGGGAAGCTTGAAGGTCAATGGCTTTGGAATCAGAGTTTCAGCACCCTTTCGCCAGATACAGCAGCTGATCCAGCGTCTGGAGGCAGAAGATGAGGAGGCGAGGATCCTTCTGTTTTGGTAGAACTCGTTGAGGCCTTTTGCATGTATGTACTCATACATTCATGCATACAGACATACAATACACAGTGCACTTCCAAGTCTTCTGGATTCTCGGCTTCTTAAAGTTATTGTTGGAGTCTGGAATTTCACCACCCCGGATGTTGACACGTGGGTTCGTGCCCAAGAAACCCAGTATGCCAAATCCAGGGAACTCCACTCTCAGATCCCGAAGCTCTTGAGTTTCTCAACTCCGGCACACCTCAAACCCTAAACCCCGACCGAGGGCATGCGCAGTTCACTCATTCATGTTCCGATCTGTCCGCGCTTCTCGTGTTGCAAGCTCGCATGGGTTTCAGGGGAGGGTCTGAAGCTCAAAACCCCGATACCGGGCCCGTGAGAGGCGATGAGCCTCGGCCAGGATGTGGAATCCCGGACGAAGGAGCCGGTCTTGGGCCTTCTTTGGGCTTTAGGGGCTGAATACAGATTATATAACATACTGTATACTATTTGGATGAAAGTTTGGGCGGAAAGTTGGTGCCGAAACGTCTCCGATCCAATTTCACAGACCTGGACCGGCTGGCCGGGTTGAGCAGGGTTGGACCGCAGGTTGGAGTCGGTCAAACAACAAACCGTTTGCGTCTCGAGGGTTTCGAGTTTGTGGTTTAGGGTTCCAAGTGCAGTACTTCTGTTTTGGACCAGTTGATTTAGGACGTCTCAGGGATATTCGAAGGTAGATTCCGGCTTTGATGATTATTTATTATTGTCAAGGATCCAGGCATAGCAGCGCAAATCTTCACTGCTTGCAGCTCTAAGCCTATGTGACGTAGGTGTCGTCTTCAGATTCCTTTCGACACCCATCGCTTGCCGTTGCAAGTCATCGATGGATCGTGCGATGATAGCTTGAGAACGTCAGGAGCTGACGGACGTCGAGGACAAAGCAGACAGTGCACAGGCTTGGAGGGGTGGTGGGGAGCCGTGCACGGAACGGGCACAGGTACACGCTCACACCCGAGCAAGAGTCGCAAATCTGTGGAAAGGGCAAGACCCTTGATGCAGGCAGAGCTGTCAAAGTGCCTCGCCACGAAGTCGAAGCTGGAATCGCTACTTCGCGCGGATCTCATTGAAACATGAGCTACTACGGTTTTTGGATGTTTTTTGTCCACGGTGTGGGATCTGTAGTTGTCGATTGTCGACATATCTGTTTCATTTGATTGTCCACGTTGCGAATCCTCCAACACCTCACATCAGTGGAATCTGATGAGGCGGTATGAGGCGTCCAGAGGTCTTCATCTTCGCCGGGAGTCGCAAAACACATGCATTCGTCTTGCTAAAGACACGGACGAATGAGATCTGATTTCTTTGCTTTGCCTGACAGTGCAAGAGCTTCGCATCCCAAATTTCTTGATTTTCATGCATTGCTGCACCACCCGTCAACTTCATAGGACGACTAGAACGCTTGCGTTTGGCGAGTTTAGAGATCTTCAGAGGGCTTTGAGGCATGAGCAGCGGGGTCAGGGCTGGCACCGTTTTGCTGCAATGAACCCTTGGATCTTGGTGAGCATCACCGTCACAGCCAGAGCGCTCACAGTCTGCTTGTCTCCGATGCAATCATGCCCGTTGCGTGCGGGCTGCCACCTTTGTTTTCTGTCTCGAAATTGGTCCCTTGTCGGCGCGGGCTGCCAGCCTACGAAAGACATCTTGATGTGGGCTGCCGTTGCAGGATGTCGGCTCCTTCAACGGTGGGCTCACTCAACCGAGGTAATTTCGACACATCCGGGCAATGCGGAAACAAACGGTTCCAAGACCTCGGGGCCAATCTGGATCAAGGCAGTGTGGGCTGCCTGCCCACCCTTGCCCGCACCACATCGGAGCCTTTGGAGATGTGCAAGCTATGAAACTCCAGACGTCGAGCTTTGCGAGTTGCTGGCTCGCAGCGGGAAAGAGCCGACTTTCACGCGTCGAGGCGGTTTCTGTGACAGTGTGGGCTGCCTGACCAAGACGTCGGCACAGGTAAGACGTATTGAAACTGCTTGTCTCAAGGCCTGCAGCGGTCGGATGCCTCGAATTTGGATGTTCTTCCGGGTTTGGAGTTTAGAGATTGACGGCTTGCGGCCAGCACCTCCTGGATATCGAATCTGGGAACGTCGCGAATCCAATTGTTTTTGTAGGCATCCACAAACTACAAGAGCTGCAGTGGGATCAGGTCAACTCCAACAGCAGACGAACACCCTCAACGAGGAAAGGAGGCCGGGCTTCTTCCGTGGCTGCCTTCAGATTCGTGAAACCTAGTGGCAGCTGAAGGCTTCGGAGTAGAGATCGCTTTGCAAGAGTAGGAACTTGCCGTCATGTGTGTTTCGGCTCAAGCCAAATGGCGCACGGTGTGTGTGAAGTTCCTTCAATGAAGGTTCTGACAAGGGGAATGATGAAAGAGCAGTCAAGAGGATCATCCGTTGATGACTCCCAGCTCTTGGCCTCTTAATCCTTGTTACGCTGGCCACAGACCCCTTGCCTGGCATGCCAGTCGTGCACATGCTTTCCCAGCATGCGGCCACCAGACAGCACGCGATTACAGCCCTGGATTCTGAACAGGCAGAGCGCAACACTGTCACGATGCATGGCATATCGTGAGCAAGTATGATAAGATTTCTTGCCATGGAGGTTTGCAGACAGTTGAGTTGCACGCAGCAGTGGCTGACGGAGTCTGAGGTTTCTGAATGAATGATTGCGAGAGGCAGATCTTTTGTTTCATTCAGTAGACCTTCTTGACCAGATTTCGAACGGAGCAAGTTTTCTAAGTGTAATGCTGCGAGTGTCCCTTGGCTGAAGACCTTGTGCCGAGCTTGCGGAAAATCTTGCTTCAAAGCGTTTTGCATGGTATACCTTCGTCGTTCAACCTGCCGATAAAACTCGAAGCTGCGAAATGGGGGCTAAGCCTGCCACCCAAAAGCCCTGCTCGAATCACAGGAAGCTCACAGATGCGGAGAGGCAGCGGCGTCAGGACGTTGGGTCTGCAGAGTCTGTGCTGGTACGATTGTCTCAGGGTTCTTTAGTTTGTATGTGTGATGATGCACAGGGCGTATATGAGCGGGTCAAGTCTATCACGAGTTGGCTGGGGTCAGGATCTGGCGGATGAGTTCCAACAGACCATCGCTGATGTCAAGAAGAAGATGGATCAGCAGGTGCACTGGAACTGGACACCTCGCGTTTCAAACGGCTCCACAACCATGGCAAGGCTAGCGAGCGAAGTCGGCTTGCTCTGGAAAACGAGGCGGGCCTTGGACATTGGGTAGATTTCAGATACTTGTGCCATAGTTCTGTGCATCAAGCCGGCGTGAGGTCCTTCGAACAAAGTTCAAGGAGTTCTTCGAGAAGTATGACCTGCCAGGGGCCTGGCTGTGGTCCTGAATGTGGGTGAAGGGGCGACGCGAGTGCCCCGAACCTGAAGCCAAGGAGCCCAAATCCTGACAGGCCGTACTAACAAATGCGCTTCGGACTCAGGTTGAGGTGCCCACAAACCTCAACTCTTCAGCTTCTACAGGATCCAATTCCGAATAAACACACCCACATGGTCCCTCAAGCTCAAGCCTTGAGTGCAAGGCGAGAGAAGGATTTGGCCGAGCAACAGAAGACTCGCGAGGTAGAAGTGAAGGCCTTCGAGCAGAGGCACGCGCCGGATCTGATCTGTTTGTGCATGCTAAGCCCTGGCAAGCATATAGGCTTCATATAATTGTACACAGCAAACCCACATCTACCCTACATGCACACATGCATTCATGTAATGATTCATTTGTACATGCATACAAACATAAACATACATACGGTCATACATGTATACATGATGGTCCTTCTTCGCATGCTAGTCTTTCTAGTCGTACTGATGTGGTTATTGCTGCTGCCGTTTGACCACTGCTGCTGCTGCCACTACTACCTCCATTCCTTTTCCTACTACTACGAGTACGACTTCGACTGCGACTGCGACTGTTGCTACTGCTGCTACTGCTGCTCTTACTGCTAGTACTACTGCTACGACGACGACGA